ATATATATGTATATATATATATATATGTATATATAATTAATTGTAGGAACAATTATGGTGAGCAAAAACTGAGGTAAAATTGTAAAATCCATCAAATTCTGAGAAAAAATATGCATACAACATAGCAGCTTTTGAAACACATGCTGGCCACTTAGTTCTGTGCCTTAAAGTAAGCAAATGGCTGTCTTCTCATGAACACAGAATTGGATGAAAGGGTTCTTAACTTTACTGCACAGTGTACAGCAACTTTTTTTCTAGTGTGTGATGCATGCAGGTTCTAGTCTATAATTAGTTAAACAGAATTGTAAAAAAAAAATAAAATAAAATTGCATAGACACCAAACACTTTCTGTACATTCACATACATTTGTTTGTGTGTGTGTGTATATATATATATATATATATATATATATATATAAAGTAAGCTTCTCTGTATTTATTTAATTTCTCAACAGGTGGAAAACGTGCGCAAGCAGTGCAACATCCAAATTGATCATATGGCAGAGAAGCTGTCTGCACTGCAGTTGGTACAAACCTTCCCTCTTAGGGGGATATTTCTTAAAAAATGATACAAACCCTCTAATCTTTGTTCGTCTGCAGCCCTTGTTTTCCATTTCAGTCTTTGACTCTCCTCCATCCACTTTTTTCTAGGAGTGCACAGATAAAGAGTCTCAGATTCAAAGATCTTTGCGTGAGAGAAAAGCTGTAGAAGAAGAACTAGAGAAGGTACATTCAAAAGTTCCATCAAGTACTCTGCTGTGAGCAGATACACAGGCTTTTAGATGACATTTGATTGTAAAGTTGCATGATTGGAAACATTAGATCTGTGCCTTTCTTTAGGTGTATAAGGAAGGCAAACCAGAGCCAGAGTTTTGGAAAATTGAGGCCCTACATCAGAGGTGTCTAAATGCAGAGAGGTTGAAGGACGACATAAATCTCACTCTCCAAAGCACTCAGAATAAGCTGAAAAAGATGGAGATGGAGTAAGTGTCACCCTGCATATCACAGTAGGGGTTTATTCTTTGGCTTTTTTTTTCGGGTGGGGGGGGGGGTCACAGGTCAAGTACCCCCACCATTATGATCTCTCTTATCTGGTCTTACTCTAGCTATAACGAGGAACTGTCTTGGTCCCAGGAAGAGGTACGGCGACTGCAGGGCTTACTAGCTGCAGCTCGGAGTGACTGCATTGGTGTCAGCGAGGAGCGGCTTCAGCTGCAGCAGGAGAACATACAGCTGCACAAGGAAATGAATGAGCTGCGCAAGGCTAGCATACAGATACAAAGGGAGGCAAAGCAGAAGGTAACCAAGTTTAAGATTGGAAGACAGTCCATGCTTGTATGCCACAATAGTTAAATAATCCTACATGAAAAGGATTCCAATATGGTCTGTAAACAAGAGATAGAAAATTGCAAAGTATGTCCTTTCTGATGTCTAACAACAAGTAACTTAAATAAAGCAAAGAAAATCTGACATTTATATTTTTAATTTTAGCTAACAAGACTTCCTTACAGAAACTTGATTTTTTTTGACAATTTGCACTCAGCTGTTAGATATTACAACATATAACATTTTGATAAGTCACTTGCATTGTTTAAAGAAACTCTGCTTTTTATTTGCTCACTTTGATCATTTTTGCAGGATTAACATTGCAAACTCTCTTTATTCTAGCTATAATTAAAAAGTAGCTGGATACCTATTTTAAACTACCAGCTTCCCTCACTGCTGTCTCTCATTTTTAGGTTTCACAGATGGAGCAAGCATGCAGCCTCAAAGAGCGGGGACTTGACGCGCGGATGAGGGAACTTGAGGAAAGGAGCCGAAACTCTACTGCTGATCTGACACGCCTCCTTGCAGCGGCACAGAAAAGCACTCAGCAATGGAAGGAAGAGGCAAAGAACCTAGTTCAGACCTTTGAAACTAAAATCACAGCTCTCAAGTAAGAAAGAGTGCAGATGGGTTTTGACATAAGAATAACAAGAATCTATTAATGGTGTTTTAACGAGACATTTTTTTGATGTAAAGCTCTGTGCAGCAGCATGTACACGTCTTCCTTTGATCTATTAAATCAGGTCTAAGCTCTTCTAAGATACAATTATATCGCATGTTGTGGTTTTTTTCTTTTTCCCAAGACATGTTTGTGCATGTCTTCAGAAATGTTCTGCTGGGTTTCATGTCTGCATCATGCCTTATTAATGTTTATCTCAAACCACTTTGATTCAACCGGCCTCTGACTGCTAAGACAAACGGGCTAAAAAATATACATTAAATAATGTGTATTTTTTAATCTGTTTATCCGAAAGTACTAGTGCCTTAATACAAAAAGCTGTAGCCCCCACCCCTACCCCCATTTGCTTTTTATTGAAAAATGGAAAGCTGCAAAATGCCTGAAAATAGCAAGCACCTTCTTTGAAAGCTAAAGCCTTCAAAATAAACAACAATTTAATGCAAATCTGGTTAGCTTGTGGCAGACGGTTTAAATTGGATGCTTAAAATTGATGAGCTTCATAAATATTTACTCTTATTCATTTTGTTCCAGAGTATATTATTAAAAAACAAATATTCTATTGTTTTTCTAAACCTCATTGCCTGAGGATTTTATTGCCTCTATTTTACCATGAACACCATCAAAGGCAACGAAACATCTCATACAAAAATTGATTTGACACTTGAAGTTGTTCTGCTCTGAGCAATAGATGCATTTGAAATAGCACAAACGTCGAAACACTTGGAAACAAAGCTTTATGAATGTCTTTGTTGTCTCTTTGAGCTGGGCCTTGGCTCTAATCGTTCTTTGGTTTTGTTTTTTGTAATGTTTTTAGGGCAGAACTGAAACGGCAGAAACAGCGTTCGCGTGAGTTAGAGATTCAGCTCGAAACGGACCGTAACACAATATCTGAGGTTTGTGTGACACAGGAGCAAGTATTTGCATTTAATTCAACAGAGCTTTAATCTAACAATATACTCAAATGATCCTTGAATGTAAAAAAAATAATTAGAGCATAATTGTAAAGATTGTTTATTTGAATAATCAAATTTTGAAGGTGAAACTCATTGCATAATGATAATTGCACACAGTGATAAATTTCAAGCACTCATTTTGTTGAATAAAATTTGACATTGGCTTAGATCTCATAAAAAACAAAAAAATTGCCACTTTTAGATATGGCACAAGACCCCAAACTGTTTATACAATGAAAATGTCTGGGCTACTGACTTAGCACCTGGCAAAACACACTGGACCAACACCAGAAATCAAATAACCTAAGTTTCAGTTGAACTACTAAAGATATTTGATGATATCCTAATTCATTTTTGTAAACAGAAAACGTATAGTGAAAGGGATGTTTTTTTTAATTTTATCTGTAATACTTAAACACAAACGTCAATATTTACGCAACCTGTGTCAAACTTACCTTTGTTTACTCAGTATGAGAAACAGCTTGGTGAATATCAAGAAAAGACGAGTCGTCTCCAGAGAAGACTGACACAAACTGAACAGAAGGCATCTACAGCTTCCCATCAGGTATAGATAGCTAGGAGTTGACTTACTGGATAGACTAAAGTGCTTTTCTCATGAACATTTGTGTAAGGTTGTGTATCTTTTTATTTGCTGTATCTGTTTGTTTTTCAGCTGAGCCTGCTGGCATCTGAGCGCAGGAAACCTTACACTGTGGTTTCAGGAGATCTATGACTGGATTGGGCAGGGGGCTGTGGCGATTGGAGTCTTTGAACAGTTTTGTTTTTGTTACTTTTTTATATGTATTTGAATAAAAAGTGGTAAAAGCTGTGTTTTTGGTGTTCTTTGATTTGGTTCCTTTTATAGGGAGAGCTTATGCTTTATGATAAATGGTAAAGAATCCCATCGGTAGGTAACTGAAGGCTTTAGTTGGTTTACTAACACACACATAAAGATTGCCTTCACGGAGAAAGGAAGTCAACTGACCATCTTGATTATGGATTTATAGGTGGAAGATAAGTGAAATTCAAACTCACTCTTAATTGGCATCTCTAAATTGGTCTTAGGTGTGGGTGTGTGCATGGTTTAATGTCTTCGTGGTGCCCTGCGATGGACCGGCGACCCGTCTATGGTGGACCCGCCTTTTGTCCATAGTTTTCAACTGTTCCCAATCTTCCCTCCTTTTGTCAGCATTCTGTGCTCTTGTTTTTTCCATATTAAATTATTTTTATGTTTTGTTATTGGCACCAAGTTTATGTAGTGTTTGAGCAGCAATGATGGACAAAAGGAACAAGTCATGCCAAATCATTGTTACAAGGTTGTATTCTGTGACAAACGACAAAACTACACACTGAAGCATTTCCATGACACCCAGCTCCAGCAACACAAGGTGCATCCACGCATTAATAAATGAATATTTTAGAATATTAGATGTATACATGGATTTATTTTTTAGTTTGTTTTTGCTCCTTTTAGGCCTGTTATGAAACCTTTCCATTAAATTTTATGGTGTTGGTTTTGTCAAATGGGATTCCATGATTCAGGCATATCTAGAAACTGTGTAAAATATGGGACTTTTTGTACTTGATGTCAATACTTACAGAAGTATCATCTGCAGCTAATCTTATACTTTAATGCCTTTTTTCCATTGGGTATTTGGTTCATCATTTTCTTGTATTTATTTCCATATTCTTAATTTTATAATTTCCTTATAACCCTACTTTGATCAATTTGACATGTTGGTAGCAAGAAAATAATTGGATTCAATCATTAAGTTCAAATAAATAATTCTAAACCTTTTTTTAACATGTTCTCCATATGGGTGGAGATGGCATTTGATCATAAACAAAAGGTCAGCAGCTTCTTAAGGCGGAGAAGCGACCCATCGCTCAGCTAGAGCACCAGAACAGAGTTTCTAGCTGGGCATGGTTTACAGCTGGCCTTCATAAGAATAACTACCAGCGCCTCCTTTATACTATTAATTGTCCACCCTTGCATAATGGGATCAATTGTTCAAAGATTCTACAGTAGAAGCAGAATATATGAAATCATCAGTATCAGACGAATGTCAAATCCATCCATCCATTTTCTAACCTGCTTATCCCTAGTGTGGTCGCGAGGGGTGCTGGTGCCTATCTCCAGCAGTCATTGGGCATGAGGCGGGGTACAACCTGGAGAGGTCGCCAGTCCATCACAGGGCAACACAGAGACAAACAGGACAAACAACCATTCACACACACACTCGAGAAGCCAATTAACCCAACAGTCATGTTTTTGGACTGTGGGAGGAAGCCAGAGTACCTGGAGAGAACCCATGCATGCTCAGGGAGAACATGCAAACTCCATGAAGTAAGACCAGAAATTGAACGGGAATGTCAAATATACCTCCTTATTTTCTATGTTTTCAATCAGGCAACTTTCTCTTTTTTTCTGGTGAGACTCTAGGTTCAGTTTGTGTTTGATTAATGTACATTACATGTTACTTGCTGTTGTTTCTTTTCGGTGACATTCTATTTGCCTTCAAGTTGTTTATGTTACACTTAAAACATTTATATGATATTGTTTCCCAGCATAATGGACAAAAAAAAAAAAAAACTAATTTCTTCTTGTTTAGCAATGACAGATTAATGATCCTCAAAATCCTTTGGGAACTTCCCCCTCTGTAGATAATTATGTGGTATTTTTCAGATTAATTTGAGTGCCATTCGTCAAGCATTCTTCAGGACTCAAACTCTATTATTCTCTTTTCACCCTCAAAGAATCCCAAGCAGCAATTTCCTAACAATTATTTCCCTGAAATGTTATTCCATTTCATGCATTTTCCATGTTTAAAACAGAATGATCTGTTCGCATTGATTTTTCTTTCTTTTTTTTTTTTTTTTTTTACATATTATCATTTTTACTTTGTATTATTTAAATGCAAATAAGTTTTTATTTTCAAATCCAAGCTTTTGATTTTAATTTACTTTGTTGAGGTTGTGCCGAATTTTATTTGTAAATATTGCTTAGAAATTCATAATTCTCGTTTAGAAATAGGCTTTAAAGTAATGGTGGCCTAATTTTACTTAGTGGAACATGCCTCATTTGTCATGTTAATCATTTGTTTTTTTAGCACAGTGCACTATGCAATAAATCTGCTCCTTACTAATCCAGAAACAGGTAAGCCAAATGACTATGGCCAAATCATCCCACAACCTGAAGTGAAAACTCTTGACTTAACTAGTGAAACTCAACTAATTAGCTACCATGAAACCATAGAAAGCATTGATTTTATTTTCCATGTTGGGCAGTGTTTGAAGGGCTAAGGCCTCCTTATGCTTATTCGAATTATTATTATTTTTTACATATTAAGTGCCGTTGGATTTTGTTCAAACCAATTCACAATACAAATCCAAGAGCTAAAAAAAATGTTATTTGGTCAAATAATTTATTTAATGATCTTACACTAAATTGTCCCTGATCTTTTCATGAAAGTGGAAATATACTGGCAAAGCATTTCTATCCCTAAAATGTATTGGTAAGCTGGTATTGTTTTTAAAAAACAATTAGCATTGCTTTGCTCATTTCTTTTTTTTGCCAACCAAGAGCTCTCTTCTCCACTACATTTGCTGCTGCACATTCCAGTTATGCTTGATCTGTAAATTGTAAGAATAGTGATGGATACACTTTTTTTTTTTTTAGTAAATATGATGAACATGAGAGAAATGTTATTCTATTTATGTTTGAAGTTTGTGGAAGGGGTAAAAAATGTTTTTGTGATTTCTAATTTTTAATCGTTTTGTTAAGACTTTTAATTTTTAAATGGTAAAGGATTACATGTGCAGCTACAAAAACATTAAATAGTGATAATTTACATTGTAAGTTCCCATTTATTTTATCTGACAGTTTGATACAACCCTCTCTGCTACCTTTGGTTCTATCATCTATGCAATATCATGCATATAACACTTTAATTTTGAACTTGCATATAACAGAAATGTTATATGCAAATAAATGTTATATAAAATGTATTTTTATAAATAAAATAAAAAGAAATATGAAACAAATTCTATGAACAAATAATGGTTGGCTAAAATGGTTTTGCAACCATGGCAACAACTGCTGTCAATCAGTAATTAGCACTGAGTTGACTTTGCTGGGGAGGTATTTTGCTCACTGTTCATTGCAAATTTTTCGTGTTATAACTGCATCTGTTTTCCAGTATTGATTGCCTATTTCAGGTCTTTTCATAGTATCTTAATCAAATTAAGGTCATTACCTTCATTAAGCTCCAAAAAAAAATCGAATTTAATAGGTTAACTCTCTGAAGTGTTTCTGATGCCCCTACTTCATAGCATAATGTAGGCTTGGTAGAAAGCAGAAGGAATGGTTCTATCACTCGAAATGGGTTATCCAGGATCATCAAATGTTTATCAGCAAATAACTAATATGCCTTTAATTTTTTTTTTTTTTATTTCCAATCTACTTGGCCCTGAAATGCTCCCACAAACGCTTTTTCTGAGAAATGGCTTTGTAACCCTTTCCTTACTGTGAGAAGTTTGTGGCTTTCTTCAATTTTATGTGTCAAAGCATGATACAATGTTTTCTGAGATAGTTTAGCCTTAGTACGGTAAGCATAAGGAGGCCTTAGCCCTTCAAACACTGCTTAAATGGAATGAATGTCTTCTGCATTGTTCTCTGGAGGTCAAAATTTGTAAAATGAAACATTTCATACAAATCCAATCCAATCCTCAGTAGAGCAAATCTTTGAAAAAATCTTAATCTCTTTGCAAGAAAAACTACTAGCTTCATTTGGTTAGACGTTTGGGAAAATGTCTTTACAACCTAAAATGCCCAATTCCAGCAGTACATAATGGGTGATACAAAAGTTTAGAGAAATATGATTTTAATATCAAAGGTATAGTGGGGGATTTTTTTTTTTTTTTTTAAAGACTTTGAAACAAAAATGCCCATGCACAACTCTGTACCTGCTCCCGAGAGGGAATGCCCATTAACCACGTTACGAGAGGATGCCAAACCCCATTTCTCTTTGTGCACGCTCTGTTTAAAAGTTGCTGTTAGCATTGCTCATACAAGCTTACTTTCCAAAAGCGAAACAAAGCACAGTCTTATGTAAAAATATCACCAGAACGATTGACATTTAGGAGGACCACTTATTTTGATGATATACCCAGAAAAAGAACATCCTCCACTATACCTTTAAATGGTAAGCTAAACTCAACAGAGTGCATTGCTGAGCAACAACGCTATTCTGTATTGAATTGGAGGCTATTTGTCTGTAAATTGCACCATGCTGTCATTATATTCTAAGCAATGTACTTTGCCAAAGGACTGCATTTAAGTAGAGAAATACTTCCTAGCGCAACCAAAGGTCAAATTTCCATTTTTTATTTCTATTTTAGTAAATACAATATTGATGTGTATTTTTTATCTTAATACTTCTGTTTTTCTTTTTACACCTTATCACATATTGAGTGCTCCTACTACAGGTCGCTCTAGTGTGAGCCGAAAAAATTGACAAAGACTCCTGGATAAGTGTCGAAATGTTTTCAGAAAAAATGAGGAAAAAGTATAGCTGCCTCTGATTTAAGCCTGTTTTATGGTTGCCATGACAGGCAGGTAAATTGTACTGCTTCGTTTTTCAATCCTAACCAGATTCTTAAATGTCATTATTTTTTATTTACTTTCCTAAAGTCAGTGAATTTAATGTCCCCATTCAATTCCTGCTAATTCTAACATAGATCCTTGCAGTGAGTATTTAAATGGCAGTACCTTGCCCCTGCAGGATGGTAATCTTGAGTAAAAGACTTCAGATTTTAACTTAGGTTTTA